TGTTCTAAAAATAGAATTATTGTCCCATATCATGGGGACAACCCCAATACTAGAAATGGCGCGCGCTTACGGTCTCCGTCCCCGATTATGGCCCCTGGTTTATAACGGATGTGCAATCATAAGACTCTCGAGCTAACACCGCAGAGAAACAGCAAGTGGAAATTTCGATACACAACCCAACTGGTCGGTAAATCATCGATATTTACAGACCTCAGCAACTCTGCAGCTGTAACAGCTCGGGCAAATTAAGGGCTATGCATTGACAAATGCATATTGTTCTGTTATCAGTACGAAAAGTAAATGCTGCTTTAAGTTCTACGCCCCAAGCTTTAGCTTTAAGGTAGCTTTCCACAGTTTTGTGAGAGAAAACAAGCCAAACACTGACACACTTCCTTTTTCGTCCTCTAATTAATGCTCACTTAAGTCTTTAACTTTATCATACGCGGCAGTTGTACAATATATACCTTAATGACAAGCCAAAATGAAGTAATACTTAAAGGAAGATTGGTACTAGCAGTTTAAGGCCCCGCTGGTCCACACTACGCCAGAGAAATGTGAAAACGCAACAGTAACAAGCGGCAGAAAATCTTGAGTGCACCCTTTAAGATTTGGGTTAATCACATTAAATTATCAAGTTGTCCGCATTTTCGAAAACCTCCGTTTTCCGTCCACACAATCGCGGCGCCAAGCTGGCGTTTTCCAATTTTTCTGGTTTGAAGAGCTTTTACGAAAAGCTCCATCTTCGATTAGTGTGGACGGTAGGCCTAACCGTATAGATAAAGCTGTGTTTTCAAATTTCTCCGGCGTAGTGTTGATGGGGCCTTAATGTTGTTTCTTTCTTCAGAATCTATCTACCTGACACTGCCTCAAAATTCCAAGAAATAGAAATTGGCTCCAATTAATCATTCATCTAACATAAAATAAAGGAACTTGCAAGTTATATTTTCCACAAAATAAGAAATCGTGAAATTGTGCTTTACATTGTCTTCAAAATGGCTCAAAATGTGTCTTTTACAGTTTTCTTGTACGGGTAGATTTTGGGAGTAACGTCATTAAAAGTATTAGTGCCTAGTCCTCGTCAAACTTTTGTACGTTTATTTTGACTACTTAATCGATAAAAAGTACCCCGTGGAAAGATACATGTAACAGACAATGGTGACGTTATTTACATGTTTTGATTAACTTGCTGGTTTTCAGATATGGAGGATACGAACCGTGGTCGTCCACCAAGAAGACGACGACTTGGTGGCAAACCAAAACAACGTGGTAAAAAGCCAGCTAAGCGACCTGGTAAACAACGACGACCGTGGGGATAGATGACGCAAAATGTAATTATCAATACAAATGTTACATAAAAAGGCATGTTTCGCACTGTTTCAGCGACTTAAAGTCATTAACTCTTTACCTGTTGTGAATGCTGGGCGTTTTGCTTCTACTATGATGAAGCGCATTAATTAATAAAAATTTTTATTTTTCACAGACGAGTACAAAGAACCATGCTCACAGTTGCCTGAAGGAGTTGTCGTCTTTAATTAGTGGTTGGGAAAGAAATATTTTTGGTTGAATTTGAAATCGAATTAAAACTGATGAATGTAGAGTTTAGTGTTGGCTAGTGATGTAGATTGTAATTATTAAAGTAAGTCAAGTAAGAGCAATATCTTGAAAACAAGTTTGTTCCTTTTGTTTTGAGCATAAACGATTCAGGATTTGACACAAAGTTGGGTGAAATCAGGCGAAAGAGTGCTGTGATCAGTATCAAGGTCTACTCTGTGCCGCCATTCTAAATCAAAGTGGCTGTGAGCCACTGAGCTCGGATAATGATATTAATCCATAGGCCATGGGGTCAACTTCAAGGACATTTGTGCAGTGCTCTTTATCTATTTTTTTCTACTTTTCCTTCTTCATTGATTCTCTCATAGTTTGCTCTCATTTGCTCATAGTTTGCTCTGATATATGCTAATACAACTCATGACATTCCAGATAATTCTGATATTTCTTTTCGCTTTCCTAACCTCAGCGAGCAGGGGATTCGACTCGCTTTAGCTTGCTGTTCTTATTACTCAGCGTTTCTGTACAAACCTTAACTAACGATATTTTTCCATGTTCGAAAACAATTGCTGATGTAGCACGGTCGAGAGGTTGTTCGTTCCCACGCGGATGGCTGTGGAAATGACTTCATTTATCTATGCTTTTTTTTCTTATCGATTGACAAAATTACCAAAAGGAAGCGTTTGCCTTTCCCACGCTCTTGTTTTTTTTTTTATTATTATTATTTTTTAAAACATCTGGAACTTTTAATCATTCGAGAATTCGTATAAGTACTTCGATCAATTTCAAACTCAAAATACGCTGGTTAGCCCATTGGTCTATCGGTGGGAGCTTTGAGTTAAAAAAGAACATACACTGTCGACCTTAAAGGATCCACTAATGAGAAACTTTGCCACTGAAACAACCTGAAATCACTTGGTAAATAAATTGTATCGCGCAGCGCACTCGACTGAGAACCCTTATATTTTACAGTTGCCTCTTCAGTGACTGGCCTTTGGATGGCAGTCAGGTTGCGGATGACCTTGTTTTGATAAAGACCTTACTGCTTTTGCTGTGTAGATGAAGTTGTTCTTATGCTAATTAGAAAGTTCGCATTTAAAAATGAGAAAAGTAGAGAGGTGTGTATCAAAGCAAGTTACCTCTAGTCTCGCTTTCATTCATAGACCAGGTAACTAAGCACACAGTTGTGGCCTATTGTCTAACAGGAATCGAAGGATCGAGTAAATCTCACATCCATACCTATATCTCGGATTAATGACTACGTCATTATCGGAGCTGAAAAGGAAATGACAGTAAAATTTCTGTGAATTCTCAGGCGGTGGATAAATAACAATGATTGGACGAGGTTGAGCAAAATTTCGTAGAGTGAAAGAATGATACCTTTCTCTTCCAGGATTCGCCATTAGTCCTCGCGTGGCATCAGTTCCCGCGTGTAAAACACTATGAGGGACTAATCTCTACAACCAGTCCCCTCGAATAGTCTCTTCAAGGGCTGCATGGACTAGTCCTGTGAGCTTGTCCCTTTGTGAGTGCCGACCTTTTAACAATGCTTGTTGTCCTGTATTGAAGTGTCTTATTTTGCTAAAATTAACTTGGATTGTTATTTCGCCGGATAAACCTTTGGACGATCTGTTCTACTGAACATCGTAGAAAAACAGCGAGTGCATATTTCTTTGTTGAAAAACAATTTTGACACACATCCCAACAGGTTGGCAAATCATCGATATTTAAAAGCCCCACAAACTGTGTTGCCGTAACTCACCGTACAAGACAGGAATGAAATGAACATCTTATTTTTAAATCAATCAAGGGTACTATCTCAACATTTCTTTCCGACTGCAATTCTGAGTGGTACTTCATACCCGTCCACTTCACTAATCGCATCCATTTAACACTTACTTTTAGAACAATTGAAATGAAAACCTGTCTAAAATGGTACATTTTAGATTGTCCATCATCTGTTTTCTTCATCGGTATTATTATCTGTTTAGTTACAGTGCACGCTTACCGTAAACCAGTTGCCGCCCGCGGCACGTGACCTCGGATACTGGGGCACATTGGTATATATCGCCCCTGTAGTATTTTTACCAAGGCATGATTCATGACAAGATTTCTTCACTAATATGACTCTTAGACGAGATATTAGACCGGAAACTTGCGTCATGATAAATCAACTACTACAGTATAAATAGAACTCATTAACTGTATTTAAATCTTTCTCCGCAGTTAAAGTAAGTAAGTAATCTTTATTAATGTGGTCTAATACACTTAGCTGATTACAGTATTGTGAGTATCCAAATATATGATACAGGACTGTAAGTATTCAGTTCAAATAATGATCTTCATTTATTATAATAAACTTTCATCACTGTTATGGATTAGAAATTTGTTACTCAAATGACATACATTGCTTTCAGGAAAATACTTGCGTCAAGGTGAAAAACGTAACTACATGTAGCCTGATGCCAAGACAAATGAAAGGCAAACGCCCTTAACAAAAACCACCTGATGGAGCATTTTCACCTGACGATCGAGTTTTTCGAAAAAATGTACACTTTTCTCGGTTGCTTTTAACCATTTAAGAACATAATGTATTAGGAAAAGTGTTAATGAAAATATTTGCATGCTCAGTATTTGATGATCAGCCGCCTAGAGAACCAAAGTAGGTTCTAGATGTAAACAGGTCCGAACGCCCGTTCTGTAACCAATTGGAGCGAAACATTTCGACGAATATCTGAAGTTTGGAGCAACGCACACACCTTAAACTTGGAGGAGTGTCTTCTGTGTTTACCTTGTATAGTATCGCAATTTATTGACTTTCTCCACTGAATGGTTTTTTTATTTTTTTATCGCGTGAATATGGAAACCCTCTAAATCCATATGGTCGTCCTGGTATGTTGGTTTTTACTTAGTATCGGTTCTACTCTTCCCTAAATACTTGAAAGTGGCTCTTGAAACCTAAGAAAGCTGGCGAAGATGTGTTATCGAGATATCACCAAGGCCAACTTTTATCGTGTAAGAGTGGGTTGCCATGGGAATTGACACTTTTATAACCGTAGGTGTGTTGCATATTGAACTATTAGCCTAGCAGGTTTCAATGGTTTTTGCTCCAAATTGAGCTAGATAGCTCTATTTATAAACTTGATGCAATATTTGGTTGAGTGTATGACGTCATCAGCTATTTTACTCATTTTTCAAACTTAAATATCTCCAGAACCAACGCAGATATTTGCAAACAGTAAACGGGGCAATTCAAGGGGTAAAAATTTGATCATAGATGTAGTCTCACTTTAATTGTGTCTACACTGAGCATAAAGGGCATGATGCAAGAGACCACTGCTTTTCACTGTAAATTTGACGAATGACGCTGTTTTAACATTGTTGTTTCGGATAAAAAAAGAATGAAAACACAGGAGAAAACACTCAACAAACTTACAGCAAATGATCCTCATCAAAGAAAGTTATTCTAGGATCATTGTTGAATGCACCTATTAATATAGATACAACAACAACAACAACAACAACATGACAACAACAAAAGTAAGATGACAAAAATGACTGAAAGCTCTGCCACTAAGTCTACTAAAGATAATTGATGGCTTAGGGGGTCCTTCTTGACTACCAATTGGTCCTGAATTTGTTGCTAAGGAAGGTTTCTAACCGTCGTATGTTGAAAACCAGACCTCCTAAGGATCAGCGTTTTACACGGGTTTGTTCCATTGAGGAGTCTTCATCATGGCCATATTTGAACATGTGAGCAGAACATAAAAAAACCTAAAACTTAAAAGGCATCTAAATCAGTGGCAATAGATTAAGAACGTCCACGTGCATAGTGCTTTGTGTGGGTTTTATGAAACTCGCATTACCATTAAAGTTATGAGATAACAAAGAATAAATAACAGACTTTCTTCAGTAGCTTTCCTCTTTTACGTGTAAACAACAATTCCATACGTAGGATTATAAAGAAGGCTAAGTTATTTATGATTCACAAGACAAATCGCAACTCTTCCTCTTTTCTTTCAAGTTTTAGAGATATAAAATTCTAACACGTAGTTTGGGTTTGGCACTATTTACGCACGCGAAATCATTTTGTTTTTCAAAGCAAACGTTCCCTCATATAAAATTCACCATTTAGCACTGCAAAACACTCTTCAAAATAGCTTTCCTCTAAACGTTGCCTTTCGAAATCCCTTAGCAACTGCTCCAAATCTGAAGTTAAGAAGGACCCCCTTAAATTAATTGCTTATGATATTAGGAACGCTAAAAATCTTCTTCTTAGCGGATCATCAACGTAATTCGGGTGTCGGTAAACACGACAAAATTGATATTTCCTGTATTGGTTCCTGGATATTTGACGTCTGATTTGTGTTAAAAGCGTATAAAAAGAGAACTCAACCAAGTGTCTATCAAATTTGGAGCCCTCCTCGTCTCCTCGAGTCATGGGTTCAAAAATTTGGCTCATTGCAGTTCTACTGCTAGCGGTTAGCGTCGGTTTGGAAGGTAAGAGATTTTTAACTAGTAGTCAAGTTTTGAAGTCTTGCCACAGTCAACTCTTTCTAAGATATACACTATCGGGAATCGCCTTGAATTTCTGACCGACTTGTCCGGCCTATTTGAGGTCGAGGTAACGTGACATCAATAATTCTGAGAGATTATGCTGAATCATAGGCACAATGATTACACGTCTGCCAAGTAAACGTCTGGTTTCAAGCGGTCCGTTGACTGTTTAAAAGCGTCCACTGTCCATCCGTGTTATAAAGGTGTCTTTTAACCCTTTGGCTGTCAACGTTTCTCAAAAAATGCCGCTTTTAACTGTTAAATCAGTTTTTGGCTGCCATGACGCTAAATGGGCCTTAGTTTTGCCGGAAAAGCTATTTTTTACCAAAAAGATAGGTTTCTCCAAGGTTAGGGTACAAAAATGTACAATATTTTAGGTCAGCGCACGCGCATAAGCCAAAATCGATATCCAAAATCGCCTGTTATGCGGAATGATCTATCCTAGCTCTACTATCTGCTTATCAAGAATATCAAGTGCGCGTATACGCGTCGTTGGCAGTCAAAGGGTAAGCGGGAATTGACTTTTGTTTTTGTTCAGTCGTCTCTTCAGATATCTAACTCATAGTATTGTTTCTATTGCCATTTTTCAGCATTTCCAGTTGCATTAAACGGTAAGTAAATTTAGCATAAAGTTTGTTGTCGATCAATATAATAAAAAGCTGCAAAGGAGCCAATAAAAGTGACTTATATAATAAACCAGCATACACCATGGTAAACATAATCAAGCAGGCAGCCAAAAGTCAAGAAGATAAACCTTCCACTGGTAGATTACTTTCTTAAGCCAGATTTATCTGAGTTGAAAGATTCTGAGGAAAAGTCAAATATAATACTCTCGGGCCTTTTTTTTAACGCTCTGTAGGAAAATAAAGGCAAGTTTGAGTAGTGGCTTGAAACTGATCGTAGAAAAGAAACACAGAATCACTATTGTAATGTCTTAAATGTAACATCGAAAGAAATCATCCACATTCCTTTGTCACTGTACTTTTTTGCAGACGATCCAACCGACTTTAAATCAGATGATTTATCAGATGATTTAACTGAAAGGGGTAAGATGGAAACATAACTCTTACTATAATTTACTGTTTTAGTCAAGTAGCGTATCAAAGAAGTTACAGTAAGCCCTACGTTCATGTTTTGACGTCAGAGCCTGACTATAGTCCCAGGTCCCAACCCTCCGCGGTTTCTAAACAAACCGGAAGTTAAATTTCACCTTTTTAGAGGGCTAACTATGCTTGCTTTCCATTTCGATATCATAATCTAAAGTAGATTCAAAAAAGCGAATAGTAAAGAAATGCAGCACAACTAACTTTAAAACACAAACATTATTATTATTATTTTTTAAATGATTTGATACAGATGTAATTTTGTATTTCGTTTCGTATTTCTCAGATGTTCTGTACGAGGACAACTATGAAATGGGTAAGATAATGAGGGTTTAATTTCATACATTCTTAAGAATCTCTCCAAACTCGGACTTCATGGACGTAGAAACATTTACAGTAATAAAGGGAAGGTTGATTAAGCCATACACATACATTTCTTGATGATGGACGTGTTACCATTGGGCAAGATCAGCTTACGAGTTTTCTTTCCGTTTCTGATCATCCAAGGTTATCCTGATGTTGATAATGTTGCTGCTGCTGTTGCTGCTAGTGATGATGACGATGATGATGGAAATGAGTTGGGTGAGAAAGACTTGTTTTATTGACACATTTTGCATATAACCACTCGAATGACTTCAACCATTAGAAACTTTATACATTTTAGTTTAACTCTCAACATCCAAAGGGAACGGAAAGCGGGGAGGGCCAAAGCAGCGTTCCGATGAGCAAACTTTGATGGGAAAACTATTTTTGTATGTCATTTGTTATTATCACAAGCCTTTTTTGACTTGCCCGTCAAGCTAAATTTTGTTTCATCTGGTTTACCTTGAGCAGCCTTGCAGAATTAGTACTTTGTCCCATGTACTTATTTGATGTACGAAAACGTTTTAGCGTATGATTTTCTCGAGGCGATTTTTTTCCTTTACGTTTTCAGAGAATTTTCATGATGACTCAGGAATGGGTGAGATGAACTTTTAATGTTAACATGAAGTAAATAGGCGCGTTCGTATGTCAGACTGATGTCAAACTGACATATTCGTATCATTTTCCTTTCTCAGAGGACTATGAAGGTGCTTTAGACGAGATGGGTGAGATATAAGAATATTTTTCATCTTTTAACGCTCGGGTGACCGAGCACTCCGGGGTTTAATGAGGGGTTTTTCGTACAGAACCCCCCTAGAAATGTTTTCCTCGTAATTTGAAAAGGGGATTTACTCTCTGTGTTGACAAAATCTTCCGCTGTCCATTCACCCCTCACAAAAATTTTGATGTGTTAATAATAAATTTGCATCTTGTTCTAAAGCGAGCAACTTCTTATTGGGTATAAGGACAAAATCCAACCAAAGGGTGTCTAACTTCCCACCCACCCGGCCCCCTTATAAATGTGCTACGTCCGAGGGTCAAGTTTTCGAGACAAGAACAACTTAGAGGAACGTGACCTTTTAATGACTAGCACATGATTTCAATAATAAAGACTGGAGCAGAGGTTTAAAAAAAAAAGGCCCTGCTCAATATCCTTTCCTTTTACGAGAAATAAAAATATCGAAGAGCTGCTGAATGAAATTGGCGAGTCGCACGAAAAATTCTTCTTCTTTGATATGTATAAGGTTTTACGCTCCTTAGTCTTAATTTTATAGTATCCACAATAACTTTAATTTATAGGCCAATTAAAAAATAAAGACTGAAGAAAGGAAAAAATTGTAAAAAAAAAAAAAATAAATAAAAAAATAAAAAGTCAGGGGTAATTATAATTCTAAAAGCAGCCCACCTTGTGCAGTGATGCAGCTTAAATCCTTAATGAATAAATAACAATATAATCTTGAAAATTGATTAAAAATACCATGTGGATTGGTAACCACTTATGAAAGCGATATTTTGCATTATTTTCCAGGTCTAGAGGATCCACGTTGGAGTGGGACACTCAGACTGCCACGACCACGTGATAGGCGTCCACGATCACCGCAACCAAAACGAAGAAGGAAAAAAACAGGGAGAAGAGGAAAAGGGAAACGGGGTGGTAAGAAATCATCAAGACAAAAAGGTAGAAAAAGGCATGGGAGACCCCCACGAAAATCTGGAAATAAAAAGGGAAAGAAAAAGGGAAAAGGTGCGTAATTACCTTTATATACTACGTTCGCAGTTTCAAAGAGGTCTTACGTTCCTGATCTCATTCAATGCTCAAATAAAAACTTTATACTTCGCATGCGTCAGGGACTTAAAAGTTCGCTCTACCACCAAATTACTCAGCGATATTGTTAGCCACAGCTTAAGCTATGTTTTTGGATGTAAGTTTGATCCAAATACCAGCGTGTAATGAATCTTATTTAGGAGTTCATTATCATTTTATAATCCCGAAAAATGAAACGATATACAGTATTTCAGTAATGGAACAACAGAAAGGAAAATATCTTAATTAACCTCAGGAGACAGGTAGGACAGATCAAACACTACTTTCTTGGAATCTACAGTATGCACAACATGTACATACATCAATAAGATTTCCAGTACCTTCATTAAAATGATAAATTTGAACTTACCAAGTAGCATTACAGCCGCTTACATCTGCAAAGCGTACTTGTTATCTTGATTGAAATGTTGATATTTTTCCCATAGGTGGTTAAAAAGACGCGCGGTTACAGAGCCTCACCCTCCTGGACTATGCCATAAATAAAAGGAAAGAAAAGAAAAAGGAGGAAAAAGTCACCCTTTTATCAGCGAACGGAAAACAAATAAATGATAAAATCTGGAATTAAAACTGAGTGATAGCAATTGTTAGAGTTTAGAATTTCTTAATGATATAAATTTCAACAATAAAAAAGATCACCCTTTAGAAAAGGACCACAAACAGCAACTTTACTTAACCTAGCTATCACTTTTGTAACATCCAAATCCCTGGGAGGAGCGGGCAGAGACTGGGAGATTAGGGCGAGAAGGCGTCTGGTATTTCAGAATAATCAGGGCGTATGCTGCGTTGTTTAGGGTTAAAGTTCATAAGCTAGAAACTCTTGCCTGCAAAAGCTGGTTTAATTCACGTTTTATTTAGTTATATGAGGTTAGAATATAAAGGCAGCTAATATCATGTGCTACACTTCTAATTTAATAATTTTGGTTTCATTCTGGAAAAGCCGCAGAGTGAAAGAAAGATAGCCTTTCCCCCTAGTGTTTGCTACGTGAAAGTGGATTTAGTCCCTGCGCATGTAACATATTATGAGAGACTAGCCCCTCGAACCAATCCTCTCCTGGAAAATCTTCAAGGGACTTGAAGTGAGACCCATTTTTCCAAGTGTGACCTTTTTTTTTACCAAGTTTCGTCACTTTTCTTCAAGTGTGACACATCTTATCAAATAAGGCACCTTTTTCTCCAGGTGTGACCTATTTTCACAAGTGCAAGCCATGTTTCCAAGTAAAACCCCTTTTTTTTTTTTCCAAATGTGATCCTTTTTGTAAGTGTGACCCCCTTTTTACCAAGTGTGATCCCCTTTTTTGCAAGTGTGACCCATTTTTCCAAGTGTGACCCATTTTTCCAAGTGTGACTCTTTTTTCTAAGGGTGACCCGTTTTTCTAAGTGTGACCCTTTTATCCAAATGCGACCCATTTTCCCAAGTGTGACTCATTTTTCCAACTTTGAACCTTTTTTGCAAGTGTGAACCCCTTTTTCCATGGTACTCATTTTTCCAGGTGTAGTTCTTTTTTGCAAGTGAGAACCATTTTTCCAAGTGTGAACATTTATTGCAAGTCTGACCCCTTTTTTCCAGAGTCACCCATTTGTTCCAAGTGTGACCCATTATCCCAAGTGTGACTCTTTGTGCTAATTGTGACGCATTTTTTACAAGTGTGACCCCTTTTCCAAGTGTCTCCCATTATTCCAAGTGTGACACATTTTTACAAGGGTGACCTTTTTTTCCAAGTGTGACCCATTTTTCCAAGTGTGATCTGCTTTTACAAACGTGACCCATTGTTTCAAGTGTAACGCTTTTTCCTAAATTTGACCCGTTTTTCCAAGTGTGTGCCTTATTTCCAAGTGTGACCCTCGTTTCCAAATGTGACCCCCTTTTTTCCAAGTGTAACATTTATTCTGAAGTGTGACCCATTTTTTTTCAAGTATAACCCTATTTTCCAAGAGTGACCCACTTTTTTAAGTAGGACCCATTTTACCGTGTGCTACCTGTATATTTTTTTAAGTGTGACCATTTTTTCCAAAGGTGATCCATTTTTCCAAGTGTGACCCATTTATCATAGTTTTACCCAATTTCCCAAGTGTGACCCATTTTTCCACGTGTGACTCTTTTCTCTGAGTGTGACCCTTTATTTCTAAGTGTGATCCACGTTTCCAAGTGTGACCCCATTTTTTCAAGTTTAAATTTTATTCTCAAGTTTGACCCATATTTCCAAGAATGATCCCTTTTTTTCAAGTGTGATACTTTCTTCCAAGTGTGACCCACTTTTCTAAGAGCGACCCTTTTTTCCAAGTAATACCTGTGACCCATTTTACCAAGTTCGACCCACTGTTTTAAGTGTGACCTTTTTTCCAAGTGTGACCCATTTTTTTCAAGTGTGACTTCTTTTCCAAGTTTGACCATTTCTTCCAAATGTGACTCCTATTTTTCCAAAAGTTACCCATTTTTCCAATTGTGGCCCATTTATTCAAGTGTGACCCATTTTTTCAAGTGTGACTATTTTTTGCAAGTGTGACCCCTTTTTACAAGTGTAAAAGTGTGACCCCTTTTCCCAACTGTGACCCTTTTTTCCAAGTGTGACCCATTTTTCAAGTTGACCCGCTTCTTCCATAAGTTACCCATTTTAACAAGTGTGACCTATTTTTCCAAAGATAACCCTTTTTTCCAAGAGTGACCCATGTTTTCAAGTGTGACCATTTTTTTGCAAGTGTGACCCCTATTTTCCACAAGTTAACCATTTTTTCCAAGTGTGACCCATTTTTGCAAGTTTTACCCATTTTTACAATTGTGACCCTTTTTAAAGCGTGTTCCATTTTTTTTCAAATGTGACACATTTTTACAAGTGTGATCTTTTTCCAAATGTGACCCATTTTTTTCTAGTGCGATCCACTTTTACAAGTGTGACC